ATTCCTTGAGACAGTTCCTATTATCAACCAGTTAGCGACGATACATAGAATTCTGAATGCACCACACAAGGTAAGTAGCGACCGTTGATTACTCTAACCCAGACTTCAAAGGTGCCGACCAGGTGTAAACAAAGCGTGTTGCCCCACAGATTGATGTGATGTGGACGCTTGGATTTATATGGTTGTCTTACTTGAAATTGTTTACCGTTCAATATTTATACCTTGAAATTATAGAATCAGTCACGACCCGAAGTGACGAACGCTGTAGTTTGTTTGGATGTCATAATCAGGTGGGGTCGTACACACTCGCCATGTGTCGTCGTTACCGTTTGACAGGTGTCACATATATTCGCGGTAGATAGCATATTGAGTAAACAAGCTACTGTTTACTCACCCACACCCATATTAACGAATAATTAACATGGACTTACCATGTGACCTAAATATCATTCAAGTCTAGGAAAGGTGTACTGTGACCAAATACCTTCGCCTTTGAAGAAAGAATTACAATTGTTTATTATATAGAACATTTCAGGTGTATCAACATTGTTAAATAACGTTATAGCAATTGTGCAATATCTGTTAAATAATATTGCTGTTCATTTTCAATAGCCCCATCTAATCACTCAGTTAATATCATACATGTATTGATAATATTTAGTTCCATTGAGTCTTGTTTCATTTTCGTCAGTTAATTTTCGTCAGTTAATTTTAATTATTCAGTAATTTGATGATCACTATTTAAGTACAAGACTAAGAATTCATGGTTACATCTGATCAGAAATTTAACTACCATAAACTTTTATTTTGTTATGTTATCTAGTGACCTATATGACAAATTAATTCTACATTGTATTGTGTTATTATGGAAACCTTGTGTTAAATGTTGTAATGCTTTTTGTACCTGTTGCTTGGTAACATAACATTTCAGGAAAAAAATAATTTCCATATAAAACAAATCCTTTCAACTCTCTAACACACCCAGTTCGTACATTGAATAAATTAATTTTACTGTTAAAAACTTACGAATAACCTTGACTTTTTATTATTGTAAAATTGCAACATTAATATGGTTTGGGTGATTTGAAATAGACATTTTATTTTTGTCAATTCCCCTCAATTTGTGCAAATTAATTAAAGGTATATGTAATAAATTTATATGATGTATAAAAAATGAAATCAAACACAACTGATTATATGTAAGATGAAACATCAGCAGTTTCCTCCAACACTTAGATATGAGACACTGACTCCACAGATGTGGTTCATATATTGCTACCAGTGACCTGTGCTGGGTTCAACTAAGTGAAAAGCACTGGGTCAAACTGTCATATGTAATTTCCTTTAATTGTCCCTTTGCTTTAGGAATAGCACCATCAGGAAACAGCAGGTCATCAGCTGATACACCTTATCCTAATTTTATCACAGTTTCCTCTTAATACCATCACTTCCTCATTATACCGCAGGCACATTATAAAACTTTTACTTTATGCTCATAAGGTTTCTGAGTTAAGTTGACATTTACCCCACTTCATTGTATGAATAATTTTCAAGCAGAATTAAACCCAACTCAATCCCTTGCTCCATGTGTAAATATTTACCAGGATGTTTCTGATTTTTCCAATATTGTTTTTGGACTTTGTGTGTAATGGTTAAAACTTGTGATATATGCCTTAAAAAGATAAGACTATACTTCAACAGGTCAATGTCCCCCAGGCTGAGTGGTATAATGAGGAAGCACCTGCCATCAGCTATAGAGATTGTTAGCTAAAACAAAAGTGTATCAAGTGACAGAACTATCACCATAATGTCCTTCCCCCCAAGACACAGGACACCTGTTATCTGAAACCTATTACTTTATATCTCCAGTTCCCACTCTGTTTACATTTAATCAGCATCTGGTTAGAACAATGGCAAAGGGAACAGGTTTCATTAAACCAATGTTGAGGCGTTAAAGACTGTTTCTAGAAAAATATGTATACAGATATGAAACCCAATCATCCCTATTTTCTATTATGATCAATAAGCCATGTTTATAATATTATGATATACCTACATCTATGAAGAAAGTTTTTGAGGTTTTTGATGTAATTTTGTTGCCATATATAAATATATACTCTGAACGAAAAAATCACGGGTCATGAATGTAGTAAACAACAGTTACAACAAATTTAAGAGGACCACAAATTTTGTTTCATTATGATCAAAGTTCATTAAACACATTTCTACTAAAATACACAACAGGTGGCTGGAATAAAAAACAACAGTTCACTATAACTGTCAGTTCATCTTAAGTGTGTTCACTATTAATGTAATTTATTCTGAAGGGATATCAAAGACTGAGCTCACAATTTCATAAAAATATTCCCCCAAATATTCATTATGCCTAACTTTTTTTTATCAGTATATCATAGACATTATACATGAATGTGCCTGGAGGTGTTTCCTGGTAAGCCAGATCAGGTAGTTATATAATTATGTACAGGTATACCAAGTAAACATAATGATAATGTACAGGTATGCTGTGTTATTATGTCACGATGGTTACACTTGATTTTATGACGACAAGAAGTATTAATGTTACAAGCATAAACAGCTGATTACTAGCATCACGTTGTGTCATGATAATTTATTGAATTCTGCCTTCATACAGTAAACTGTGATTAAAACAAACTGAAATGGCCACTAACTTATTTCAGTTAGTTTCTGTAGGTCATCATACACATTTCGTCTAAATTATACTGCAAGTGGCTGGGACCCTAAACAGTTAGTTATATCCGTTGGTTCGTTATAACATGTTTGTTATAAAAAGTTTACTATATTTAGTGACTCGTTGAAAGATTGTTTCTCTTCAAAATGAGTAATCTTGGACCATGTTGGACGTTGTGTGACACATTTGAATGTTCATGCAAATGATGTTATTAAAAAGTTATTAAATATTTTCTGTAAATAAAATCTGGTGTAGAACAAAGTTCAGGAAGTTGTAGCTAGATCCTGTGCTGGTCTCCCCTATAGTTTACTCGGTACACATCGGTCTGCAGTGGAGCCACTTGTACTGCTCAAGTAGTAGGACATACAGATGGTCATTGAATCAGATCTTTGATGTTCAGTGATACTTTTAGCCTTTAACTTTGAGGGAGGGCAGAGGAACAGCCTGATTATGCCCAGGGTGGGCAAAGTAATGGCAAACTTGAACTTATGAGGGCAAATAAATAGTTCCTAGAATTTGGTGAGGGTAAAGTTTTATAACTATTTATAGTTATGCAGGAAGTATTTCAGACACATCATGTATAGTTTCATTGTACATGGATCACGGAGACAGTCAAGAAATAGCTTCTTCGTGACCAGAATTTAATTGAGTAGTCTGAAGGAAAAATCACTTTGACTTCGGAGGGCAAAAAGAAAATGTTGTATCAAATTGATAGCTTGACTATGATTTGTACATGGGGAGGGCAAAGTAATTACTTAATTACTCAGTGATGGTTATACAATGGGGAGGGCAAAGGAATAGCTTTGTCATGGTATCTGAAAACAAGGGGAATGGATAGATGGTGATATGGTTCCAAATTAACAGTAGTCCAAGGCTAGAAAATTCATGAAGGACAAGTGACAGCATATATTTTCCCTTCATCCTTTAGATTTATGGCAACTCTTTAAAAGGACATTTTTCCTTACTGGTTAAAATAAAACCAGAATTTATGGTGATGAATGTCTAAAACATCTGGAGGATAATAGCATCATCATCATCTTTGCAACTGAGGGAGGCAAGGGCATGGATGGGTTGGAAGAGGGTCTACAGGGGAGGGAATACCAGCATTATGTTAAAGAGCAGGGTTCTACAGTGGAGATGACTCACTGCATTAAAGCATGTTGACCATATGCAGGTTGCATGGTGAACATGCAAGATAGCTTGCATCACTTGTCTAGGGCTGGGATGGGAGGGGGTTGGGAGTTTGGAGGGGGTGGGACTTAGAGGAAGAACGCCTAAGAAGACAGATAACCTCTGAGAACACTGATTAAAATCTTTGGTTCAAAATGTCAAATATATCATAGTAAGGTGCCTTGGAACAAGTGATAACCTGTTGTAATGGATACTTTCTGGGATAAAAGTGGGATCATTTTCCTCAGGTTTCAGTATAATCAGATGTAGGTAAACAGCATGTACATGATGTTTGATTTTGTACAAGATGTAAACTGCTTTCAACATGATCCAGGAAAATTAATAAGAGAAAATATTGATCATTTACATGTTTAGGGGTAAAGGATTCTGTTTGACCTCCTCAGTTTGTGCGCAACCAGGGGCAGTATATAATCAAAGTACATTGTATTTGGCGGAACTGGGTCTTGGCAAACACTTTTAAACAAAGTTCCAAATTAGACAAATTTCAATGCATTAATGTTTAAATAAATATTCCAAGGTTTGAGATAGTGTAGTAATATTTTTTCTTCATGCCCTAAGAATGAAAAACCTTGAACTTCTTGTGTATTTTCCCCAGTCTTCTAACCATTGCACTATATTCAATATTTCTTTAATGTTTTTTCATACATTTTGATTCTCTGTTAAAAGATGCAACTTAAGTTATTTGCTCGGGGTGATTAATGGATGGTTAGACCCAGATATATGTAATCGTACCCACACAGTGTGATCATAACTCACAATATCAATCACTGGTTTGTCTGGTCTTTGATTATTTACTGTTCTCACTTAGCTGGAATATTGGTAAGTGCAGTGTTATACAAACTCACAGGTTCCTTTTAAAATTGTGCAAAGCTTTAATACTTGGTGTCCACTGTCAGTTTCCATGCCTTTTCTACCCCCAAACTATGACCAACCGTGACCTCAATTCTCTTAGTCTTCTATTATACCCTTTGTCACTGATAATTGAAGATTCAGTGCAGTTCTTTCCTTGTGCTATGTGCAATACCTGTGTTTGTTGTGGTGCATTCAGTGCAGTTCTTTACTTGTGCCATGTGTAATACCTGTGTTTGTTGTGGTGCAGCTTGAAGACTGTGCGCTGCAGATCTACCGCTACCACAGCGGGTCGCAGGGAGAGTATGGAACCTATCTGGATACTGAGTCTACTCTCGATGAACAGGCCGAGGAGCTAGACGGATTCCAAGACCAGTAAGTACTTCTATTCTATTTATGATCTGTGATACTGGACACAATGTGCTGCCTTATACCACTTTGTGATAGAAGTGTTGCAACAGTTGTAACTCAGAACAATTTGACTTCCTACACAGTGTATAGATCAATTTTGTGGAACCTTGTTCTTGGAAACCTTTAAAATTGATATAGGACTTACCACACAATGTTTTGATCAATATGCGGACGTTTGTTCTTGTAAACCTTTAAAACTGCCAAATATTTTGAGTTTCTACAGTCTCTGGAATTCTCAAATTTAAACTTTCTTTTCTCCACTGCATGCATTTGATTATGCAGTGTCATCATGATAAAATCTGTTATTTTGTTCTCAAAATACACTATCCAATCTTCAGAAGATGTTATGTGGGTTATAAAATGTTTATAGCATGCCTCCCAGTTAGATACAGTTAAACCTGTGACAACACAGTATTATCTAATGTTACACTGTGCAAGGGTGTGTAGGCAATAAATCAGACCTGGGTATACCCTGTGTATACAATACTTCATGTTGGTGTATACGTAACGTTTAGACTTGATGTCATCACATGTATGTGTGAAACAGGGTGTTATCTCACAGTGCTGCCTACTATGTTGAAGTGGGACTGACCTGAAATAACATAATCATAATAATGACAATCATAACCAACAGTTTTCTATTCAGCTTGGTGGGTATTAAATAGTTCATAAAGGGGTGTAGGGTGGCCAAGTAGTTAAGGTTTTCACTTGTTTTACTAGATAGCTTGGTTTGATTCCGGAATAAGTATTAAGTTTAGGACTTATATTTGTCATGTTGATGTCAATGGCATTGGAGGACCCTGTTGGCTAAGGCACTGCAAATATCTTTGGCAAACCTGACAAAACTAAACTCACTCACTCACTCAGTGGTTCATACTGATTATGTTTCAAGTTTTGTCAGCACCATAGGGTTTCACCAAAGTGGTAAAGAGTTGAGTGCTGCTTCACTTTGCCTTCCTCTTATAACAAGCAGACACACCCTGATGTACCTGTAACTCTGTTAAAGGTGGCATTAAACTCACTTACCCACCCATTTAGATGTTCCCTCATCATAATATTGTTGAACTGTTAAGGTTGTATCAAACCTATGGTAAAGCATTCATCGGGTTAATCATGTTATCCCACCTCAGTTGTTTTGACTAGGAATACATACAGTGATAAAATGTATTAATATTGATTTTGATATGGATTATCCAGCTCTCAGCCTGAAGATAACATGACCCATTAAAACATAAATTGAACTTCATATGACGCTCTGCACTTTGTCAAAATGAATGACAGCCAGGGAGTCGTCTGTCAATAGAGTGCAGTGTATCAATACCCCTGTGGGAGTGACGTAGCCAGATTGGACTGTCTGACATCAAAGCCCAGACACTTCCTTGTGTGATTGTCATGTAGTGGGTCGCCATAGTCAGCGATGACATTCCAGACAGGTGTATCAATGTCATCAGGCTGCCTCCATACCTGTCTCATCCTCTTTATACCTGAAATGCTCAATTATAATATCATTGATAAGTGGTCCAGCCCCACCTTTACAGGTCAGTGTGAATTTTACAGTTACTTAACACACATATGCAAGGGCTGGGCCATGAATCTTACAAGGGACAATGGAGAAAAGGGTGGTATTAAGCTGAAACTTTTCCATTGTATTGTTAATGAGGATTTGGCTCTTGAATTGCCCTAAAGCATACCCAGGGGGTACAGAGGCCTTGACCCCACTGTTTAATAGCTTTCTGAAAATGTATACGTTCAGAAACTGTGCAGATGATGAGGTACACTTAGACTAACATCTTGTCTCTGAAATGAACATATTTTATTGAAAGAACGGTTAATAAATTATGCTTATAAAATATAATGAAAAAAAGTCCAGAGACTTAATTAATTTCCTGAAACTGTGGTTATCTGGACTTGTCACATATTCTAGACTTGCAAGGGCTTTCTTTGATATAATTCTTACCGGGCCTGTATCACTAAACATAAGTTAAACAAAGTGATCTCAATTGTAACTCTCTTCAATTACTATTTATTATATTTACTTTTTTTTACAGAAACAAGTCAGTGCTGAAATTATGTTAAGAAAATATGATAAAAATGACCTAAGAGACTTTCATCATTTTCAGAAACAGCAGTATTCTAGAAATGCATGGGCTTCCTACGATATACTTGTTTTTTTCAAGATCAGTATGACAGACTACTTAATTATCAAATTCTTCAACTGTAAGATATCACAAAATTAAATTTTTTGAATTTCTGAAATCAGTAAGAATGACAAGCAAATATTCAGTGGTGGGTGTATTGTGTGATTACTGTCTGTATTCATGATGGTTAAAGTGTTACATATGTATGAACCACTGACTGTGTGTTCTTCTAACTGTGTCGTGACTGTGCACCTGGGGGACCAGGTCCGGTAACCAGGATCCAGTGAGTCAGTCCTCCAGAATGTACCCCGGTTTTGCCAACATTCAACCTCACTCGTCAGCTGATATTTCTGCATGGATTCCCCCGTTCGCCCAAAGGGGACAATGTCATAAGTCTCTGGACTTTATTTGCTGCAACAATAGATAGTTGTTGATGTTTGTATGGCTAACAGAGGGATGTAATCTTGTGTCAGTCTTCACGCAGGGCTACCCAGCTCACAAAAGGGAGTGAAACTTTTAATGACAGATTGGATTTGTAAGAGAGAGCATTGCTTTATCCTTATGTTAATATCCCACCATCCTCGGGCGGTTCCGTTTTGGATGGATGACTGTTATTCTGTTCAAGCAATAATAAGTTTATTGAAAAAAATTATTTCTGTTTTCCATACTTCCAAACCTTTCCTTTACTTGACCTTCTCAGCCATGGCTGCCATTACTTGTACAACCATTTCTGTGTACTGCCTGTCCTTGCAAATGGAATATTAGAAAAGCTGTTAGGATAAATCATTTGACCCAGTAACTTTTGAAATCACTTTTGAATAGATATACATACTGGAAGGTAAAACCAAGTAGCAATAATAGTCTCATACAAAATAAATTCCGAAGTACAATGATACGAAGACACATATATTTCATAATTTCTGTTTCATTACTGAAATTGTCCTATTAAGTTCAAGCTTCGAATTATCCTGACCAGTTTTGACAATGTTAAAGATATTTCAAGAGATAGAACTCCAACAACAGCTGGGAGAGTGGGGTTATTGCTATATTAAATCACAACTCTAAACTAGTATACTACTCAAGAAAGAACATCCGATTCCTCATCTCACTCTATTTCATTGGTCTTGGTGTGACAGATTATATATAGAAATATGAAAGAATCCAATATTCTTTAAACCCGTGAAGGTCCGGGTTAGAATTGGCCTTCAGTAACCCATGCTTGTAAGAGCTGACTAACGGGATCGGGTGGTCAAACTTGCTGGCTTGTTTGACACATGTCATCGTATCCCAATTGCGTAGATCGATGCTCATGCTGTTGATCACTAGATTGTCTGGTCCAGACTCGATTATTTACAGACCGCCGCCATGTAGCTGGAATGTTACTGAGTGCGGCGTAAAACTAAACTCACTCACTCACTCACTCAATATTCTTTAACCTCTTTTGAGTAACAAATTTTGTTGGTTAGTTTCCGTCCCCAAGTGAAACTTATATAATGGGACCAGTTCATTCATGGGACAACCCCGACCATGGAGGCCATCTGATCCTCCTACAGCAGCAGTAATGATAGTTGTCAAACATACCACCGTTACACAAAGAGAATTGCATATTTTAGGCTTGACTTGTTTCCTTTCTGTATGCGTCTTTATGTTCTGTGACACAAGCTCAACTGTACTCTTTCCTTATTGACTTGCTAATGCTGTGCATGTTTAGACGGCCATTGTGACCGCTCTTTATGATGATATTTACAACTGGCTGTATGGACTATTTCAGAATATTATTACTACTGTGACAAATCCTGTATTTATAGTCGACATACATCAAGAAGGGCATTGATTCATTTTACCCTTTCATATTATACATGTGTTATGGGTAATTTAATGAATTAAATATCATTTTCACCCTCCACCAGTCCTATAGCCGATGTACATGAGTATTTGAGTGGTTACACCATGAGCTGGATTATTGTGTGTCTTTGTGCATTGTCAATTTGTTGATCATGCTATCAACCCCAGCCTGTTTCCAACTTGATTAGACCCGTGAAGATCCAGGCTAGAATTGATCTTCAGTAACCCATGCTTGTCGTAAGAGGCGACTAACGGGATCGGGTGGTCAGGCTCGCTGACTTGGTTGTAACATGTCATCGTATCCCAATTGCACACATCGATGCTCATGCTGTTGATGACTGGATTGTCTGGTCCAGACTCGATTATTCACAGACCACCGCCATACAGCTGGAATATTGCTGAGTGAGGCATAAAACTAAACTCACTCTAATTTGATAATATAGAGACCACTGTGCTTTAGCTGAAATATTGTGGACTATGGCTTAAAGTAACATCCATCCATCCATTTCCATACACTTACATATATACATACATTCATTGTAAATTATTATGTCACTTGAATACAGCAACAGTTATTAACTTTTGTCACAGCTGAGAGACCGCCTCTATGATCTAATGAAGCATGTGACCACAATATGGATGGTCGGTGCAATGTGAAACTGTGGCAGGCTCTCTCAGTGAGCTGGCATTATAATATATAGCTAACATTAGTCCACACAGTACAGGGCGGTGGGGTAGTCTAGTGGTTAAAGCGTTGGCTCATCACGCCGAAGACCCGGGTTCGAATTCCCACATCTTCGAACCTGGGTCTTCAACAGGACGATCAACCTCCTGCCTCACTACACAATGGATGTTTCCCTCGTCACGACGTAGATCCGGGTTCGATTCCCAACATGGGTACAATGTGTGAAGCCCATTTCTGATGTCCCTCTGTGATATTGCTGGAATATTGCTAAAAGCGGCTTTAAACTAAACTCACTC